CACACACACACACACACACACACACACACACAGGGTGAAAAGAGGTGCTGCAGCACAGGCAGTATGAGAAGAATAAAGAGCTTTTTGAACATTAGAGCATGGAGACATGTCACAGAAGAGACATTAAATACCAATATGAACTTCAAAGTTAAAATAATATGGCCTCTTTAAAGAGGGAAAAGTGGAGGAAACCTCAGGGAGAGCAACAGGAGGGATTTCTCTACCAGGATTGATAGACGTGCCATAGATGTCATTGATATAGATTTTTTATCTAAGATAATAAAATATATACATAGACAAATGAAGAAAAAAGATAAAGTACCAGGCATGCAGCTGCAGTCGTAGATGGTGACGAGGTTGGGATCGTAGCCGGAGTTAATCTGGTTGTGGTGGGCCAGCTTCAACATCTTTTTGAAAGCATCGTAGATGAAGATGAAGCTGATGAGCGAGGAGAAGCCTTCCTCTGTGAATCGTGTGAAGTACTGCACCAGGAAACTGGCGTCCGTGGCGACCAGCACCAGACAGAATACCCCCGACCACAGCCCGATCCACAGCCGGAACTCTAGGTAGTCCAACTCGTTGTCTCTGAGAGAAAGGAGGCTTGATTAAATGAGGATTGAGGATTTATTGTGCACAAGAGTACTATTCAATCATAATAACTTCAAGATCTCAGTGTACTTTCCATCACCTCCCTCTAACCTGGATTGTGTGACAAATTAAAGGTTGGAACATATCAGTTATTCTCTGGAACTCTTTAAAATAAAACCTTGTGATTCTGAAGCTGTGAAACATTTTCCTCTATCTTTGCTCTCTACTTTTCTCTATTTGGAAGGTATGCATACAACAAACATTATTTTTTGTATATGTCCTAGATCACACCCCCTTAAATATAGAGTTCTATAGAGCTGAATGCAGGAGGCACATTTTTTTGTTGAAACCACTTTAGCTTTATAAAACCCTCTCCTACATCTGGTACTACACAATGGTGTGTGTGTGTGGTTGAAGGGTAAATGGGGACAGGAAGTTGACTGAAAAAAAACATGAAGCATTAACAATCAGCTGGCAACTGTAACCACCGGCAGATTTACAAAACACTTCTAGGGAGTTAATAGGGGTTACCTTGGTTGCTGATTGGCTAATGGTTACACAAGCCAAAACATCGTTATGACATCATAAAGTGGCCACAATTTGATCAGCTCATTTTCAGACAGGTTTTTATATAAATGGATCAGGTCAAAAAGTGAGCGAATCTTTTTTCCTGAAACTTTCAGAGTCTCTTTACACAGAGGGGACACATGTCTACGTATAAAAGACATGAAAACCTGGATTTTGCATAATAGGTGACCTTTAAATGACTCACTTGCTGAAACTGAAGAGAAGTCTCTCAAAGACCAGCACTGGGCCTGTGGAGCTGAGAATGGTGAGCGGCTGCCCGGCCAGCAGACAGAACACTATTCCTGTCAGCGCTGTGCCCAGGAAACTCTCCAATACTCCCTGCACGCAAGGAAAAAACACATACAGCCTTTACACACAGCAGAATGGAACAACAAATACACAGAAGGTACGAGACAGGGCAATTATACGTTGTGCATGACTCCATATTTTCTACATTGGAAAGTATTTATTCAACAGATTTTATGAGTAAAATAAAAACATTTCAATTTTGTTTTCTTTCTGAGCCTCCTGACATGATTACTGTAATTCAGCCAACTCAGCTGGAAGCTGTTTTGCCTGTACACATGACGCAGCTGCAGGGCAGGCCCATCAGGACAGGCCTGTTTCACTTCCAGCCATGACAGATGTTCAGACTGAACATTTTACAAGCCGAAAGCTATGTGAAAACAGCCCATAGATGATTATTTACAACTCTAAGAAAGGTCAGGTGAGTTCAGGGATTCCCTATGCTGTGCTTGGAGTGGAAAGGGAAAGTGATGGAGGCTTTAGGAGGTGCTGGAGGGTCACTGGAAATGCAGCCATGACGAGGCTACAGTGTAATCTGTGGTTATTTACAGCCTGAGCAGATCCTCCAGGCCAGTGCAGGTGTGATATGAGGCTACTCTGTGTGAGTAGAGCGGCCAGGGACAATAGTCTGAACTGCCAGAACACAGGGATGGGCACAGCGGGGTATAATATTATATCACAACTTTTACATATGCAGTTCTGTCAGCAACAGGTACAACAGATGGAGTATGAGCCTCTGAGCTCCAAATGAGCATGACTTAGCAGCTGGTTAACTCTTTATTTTGTTTAGTAGTCTGTGACTTAACAAGAGCTATGCCATCTAAAAACAGATGATGTCATCTCCTTAAGTGTACACAGGATCCATACGCCCTGCTAATGTGAGCTATTCTCCATTGTTAACATTCGGAAAGGCAAAATGTGCTATGTAAATGCAAGAAATGCTACACAATGTTTAGGTCATGCAGTAGCCATGAATTCGAGCCAAAGTACCATGACGCATCAGCTCTTTAATCTAGTTATCCTAACACCGTTTGACCAAAATAGAGGATCAGAGTTGCACCTCTGTAAAACAAAGCCTACTTTAGCATTAGAATTAGGAAACAGCATGCTACAGGCTGCTTCACTAACTCAGGGCTATGTTTAATGTGCATTTAGGATAGTTCAAAGGGCACTGCGCTTAATAGGGTTAGGTTTTTGAGGGATGTGTGGGTTTACCTGCATGTTTTCTGTTGCATCACCAAGCAAGCCTCCAAATGTGATCGCATTGGTGACTGTGCCTAGATAGATGAACAATATGGCCGACAGAGACTGGATATGGAGTGCATCGTAGAAGTCACTGGCGAAAAATGGCAGCTTCCGCTTGATATCCAGGATGAGACCTCCACAAAACCTTAAAGACGAAGCCATTCAAGTTAGTAGGAGACATATTGTTTCATGTCACATCCTAGCCTACTATGCTTTACTGCTAATGGTTTCCAAAGAAAGGAAAATATATTCTGAATGTTGTTGTGCAATAGTGAAGCACTTTAATTGTTCACTAGTCATGTGTGGAATATTTTGTTACTGGAAACTGACTGAGAGACTAAGAAAAACATATTTCCCAGTTATGACTTTTACTTTATGACGCATGTCTTCACTGACGGTATATCCCATGCCATCACAATTATGATCAGGACTATAATGCTCCCACATCCTTAAAAAGGTATGTATTAAGACCATGGCAATGCAACACTGGGATATTTCTTTCTTTATCATTTTAGTGTTAAAAAGGAAATGCAAATTACTTTTTTGTGCGCTGAAGCTCCTCTCCAACCGCGTGTCCTCCTCCTCCTCCTCCTCCTCCATGTCCTGCATCATGGGGAGTGTCACCGTTCATCTGAGGCGCCTCTTGTCCAGAATACATGTTTTTCCTTTGAAAACAGAAGAAACGGATCAAATTCCACAAAGACAAAAATGTGTGGGGTCAAAGAAAATTTTTCACAATACGGTTAACAATAAACACTAATAACTATTCTTGGAAATGTATGTTATGTATATCTATGTGAATAGATCCAAACAAGAAAACAATCCATTAATCAGAAAAAAGGCATGACAAAAATGATTATGTAATATTTAGGGTTTTGTTTTGAAATGTGTGATATAGTACTCATTACAACTCACAGTATAGGTATAAAAAGAGATATGACTTCTGAAAGAATAAATTACATTTTTGTTCTTAAGAATGACTATCTAAAACGTCATCAATAAAAACAGCCTTATTTGGTCTAGTATGACTAGTTTCTGATGGCCAATGCAATCCATGTAAGCAAGCGTTTGATAAATATTGCTGAAACATACATTACCGAATCCATTTCTGACTTTAGGCTGAACAGCAGCTTTGCATTTACCTTTAAATAATGATTTGTGACCACTGCTTTTTTTTGTTTTTTTGTTACACATTGGGTAGTAATATATTTATGCATAAAAATCATTTGGAAAAATAGTGTGGATTAAAGGAAACCTCTTGTCTGCGGAGGGCAGAGACTTGGGGGGCTCTATCCTGATGTCGGGGTCCCACTCTCCGGGGGGCAGCACGATCACCTCGTCCAGGAACTCCTCGATACCTGCCAGCAGGTCCTCCCTGTCCTTTGCTTTGTAGGCAATATCATGGAACACCTGCCAGCAAACAAAAATAACTTATCAATTAATAATCAGCAAATCACTACAATAGCTCCCTGAAGAACCACCTACCCTTGCTGAACAATTGTAATTATTTTTGACTGATATATGCTTTTTAATTCACAATATTGGAGTTTGAATTATTACCCAAATTCTTATTTAAATGTTATTATAATTGTTTGAGTCTGTATAAAATACGGTATGTGTGGGACTGCACATGGGAAATTAAGTATGCCGTAATTCTATTTCAATAAACTGTATGGTTCAACCTAGTGTCTACTTGCGTTTATTTACTACAGTGGAACCCAGCATGTCTCTAAAATGCAAATCATAGCAGCCAATTTAACATCTATACATTGACATAGTCACAATGTATACAAAGAGTTGGTCATTATCTGTGTGCACCCCAGGGTCACAAAGACAAGTAGGTAGATTACTAATACAGGGCTGTTTACTCAAAAACACAAACATCTGATGAACCTATGTCACTGCGTTCAGAGGAGCGCTGAGAGGGGAAAGTTCAACTTGAGGAAATCCTGGACAACATGTCCTATCCTGGCTCGTTGACATACGAGATTTACTGGGAAAAGCTGAGGCCTGTGGGAATGTTTGCGCAAGGTGCTCTCAGGGTTAAAAAGGGTTATGTGTCGTCTGTTAACATTCCTGATAACATTAAGGGGTTAGGTAAAGGTAAACACCAAACATAAGAAGCAGGCAGAGCTGAAAAGCCTGAATTTGTTTGCCTTATTTTATTATACACAAAAACAAATATGTGTCCTAAAACATCAACACAAAGATGAACAATTAAGCTATAAAATGTTCACAGCCAAACAAATGTCTGGCCAGGTAACCTGCTGTGACGATTCATATCCAGAGTGGAGAGATTTGGCAAGAAGACAAGTAGTGTAGAAAGTGTAATCCTCTTTTTTATCTAGTGCCACCATGAGATTTTTAGTTTTGGGTTTTTTTTCCTGTTAACTGGGATGAACTGTCATGAAAGACCAAATACCTTCAAAACTAGGGACATTAATTTGTTAAAGACTACTAAGTGCATGTCAATGCATGGAACAAAAGGTGGTTAACATGGTTAACAGAAACCTGCAAAAAATCAAGATGTCATGTATGCTAGCATGCCTACATTAGCATGTAGCTCAAAGCACCGCTGTGCCTAAGTAAAACCTCACACAGCAGCAAGCAGGGCCAGTAACTCTGTCTTCGTTATTGACGTTTTATTTATGGTATATAGTTAGACTGTAGACCGAGATTTGAGAAACCTTTTTTTCCTTGTATGCCAACAACTTCTATAACCTTAATGGGGTGTTTCATGTCTGGAGAAAAGGCCACATCTTTCCAGAACAGATTATCTTAAATTCACAACCAATCAGGATTTATAGGGGATAAAAAAGTGTTTGTTAGAGCAGTGAGGATTCATTTTCATGTTCTGAAGTCCAGTTGCTTTAGAGTTCAAAACATAACCAATGCAGAATCAAAGCCCTAATATTTGGAAATAAAACTGGAAGAACAAAACGTGAATTTTAGAAAACACATTGCACCTGAGATTAACATAATCCCTTAACACAAGTTCAGCTATCTCGCATCAAAAACACACTAAACTACCTGCACAAGAGTGAATAGTAAGAACTGTAAAAGTTATTATCCAATTAAAGTAAAAGTACCTCATCTGACATCAGGGTGGCGATGGCTCTTCCAATTTCATGATAGGACTTCGCTTTACCTTTGGGGCCCAGCAGGATAAAGAGAAATCTGTGCAACAAGAAAATAAGATGTAAGGCTATAATTTCAAAAAATGAGAATCTGAGTTTCATTGAAATAAGGTGATGGGAGTATTTTTCAGTAAAGGATGAAGCTTTTATACCTGGTGGGCACAGGGACCTCGGTCAGAGACCCCAGCATGACGGCCTGCTGCAGGCGAACAAATGCCACTAAGGGGGCTTCCAGGAAGTCCACCTCTCCAACCAGCACGTTTGATGCCTCTGCATCAGGGGGCAACTTCTTCATGAACTTATTCTTCAGCTATTAGGAAAGAAATAGAGAATGAAGTCAGCAAATTAAACTGTCAGGCTTCAATGCAAGATAGACCCAACATTCCTTTCTCTGTCACATGGAAAACAATTAAAGATAAGAAAGACATTGTAAATACAGTTGGTGATTCAAATGTGGTTGTAACAAGAAAAAGACTGATGTGGTACAGAACCTCTCCTAAAATGACATCCTAAAACAGCAGCTATGCCACTTTTTGAACACACAATACACATAAGTTGTCTTTAAAAGAAAAGGGAGAAGGTTAACCAAGACTTTGGTGTGAAGTTACATTTGAAAAACTACATTTTAATTAACAGATGCAGGAGCATATACCAGCTGTTAAGAGTAAACTGCTTCTTTGAGCTTTTATCTATGTGTGCGGGCAGGGGCGCGGGAAGGGGGGTGCTATATATTTTTTTAATTTAATTTCATTGTGCTTGAGATATATTTTATATTATTATTCAAATGATAATTTTCAACTATATAATAAATGATTTAGCTTCAGGGAAGAAAAATAAAAAAAAGATGTGGAAAAAAAGTGTTGTTAGTTTTTAGTCGGCTACTTTTAACGTGACGCACAACACAAGTGACAAGTAACTGACATGGCGCAAAAACGTATCTCCGGAATTCTTTCTCACTAAAAACGCTAAATCTGCTAAAAAGATTGAAATAGAAGATGCAGGGGCAGGGCATTATTAAGCAGGATCTGTGTAATATGTAGCCAGGAATTAGCAATACCTTGATAGCCTACTTCAATGAATGTAAATTCCACATTGTCTTAATAGTGTGTTTGTGCTTGCGCTTTTGTGCGTGCTCTATAGTGCCCGTAATAGCGTGTACTGGAGTCCATTGTTATGCACTGTGTGTGTGTGTGTAGTTTTGCTCGGTGCATGGCAACGTCACACACACACCCACCCACCCCCCCCGCGTAATTAGCACATCGGACAGCACCTCCACTCAAAATACCTTCCCGTGTGCGGAGTTTCTGTTTCGGAAAAAAAAACTGTTATTTTTTTCTCAGTCGTGACTCATGACAGCGAGCGAAACTGCACATAGAAACTCAGGACAAAGACTGGAGACAGTGAGCTTTTGTTGTGGGAGAGCGCGATAGAGAGCCAGGGGTCTGATCTATCAGTGTGTGAGGCCCATCAGCACACACACAGCCACACATGACCCTGCATAGCGCTCCTTTGTGAAAAGACAGCTTAAGTATCAGAGGATGCATAATAGTTGCATGTCTTTATGCCACAATTCAAAGAGACAGAAACAGATTACCTGATCCTTCTCTGGTTTGTCGGAGAAGTCACTCAGGCTGTTGGAGGTGAGGTTTCTGTGGGCAGTGGTTGGGCTACCTGCAGAGAGGTGAGACACTGTTAGGATCAAAAGAAGATAATCAAAACAGCAGAGCTTCAAATGAGACATTTTTGGCAAAGAAAGAAGACGAGCCCCAGAGAAGAAAGGCACCAGGAAAGCAGATGAAGAGAGCCAGAAACTGCTGGACATGGCTAAATGTGGCAAGGCTTAGCTGTGGGCCTAATGCCAGTTTGTCATTCACTCAGCCACTTCAGAGAGCTGGGACACATTGCAGTCGTAAGTTGGCTGCTTCTGCGTGTCAGCAGAAACAAGCCAAGTGAACTTCTGGCAAATGAGTGAAAATGTAAACTAGGATCGATTTAAGGATGATGTTAGTGACCATTTGACCTTGCTGTTGCCATTTGTCTTTCGTACATTAGTCTTGCAATATAATCTGGCAGCATTTTAAGCTACTCTGTATATTCTTGAACTATTCTATTATTATGCATTGCCATATCTACACTGTAGCTCCTGTGCACATGCCAATAAAGCCTTTGAAGTTGGGAGTTACTAATGAAGCCATTTTATCTGCGTGTCACTGAATACCACACATCCTGCTTCTTCTTTTTTAAACAAAAAAAAATGAAGAGTTTAACTGTGTCCGTTTGTACATGAGTGTGTTCAAACCATGCTGCTCTCAGTGGGAGTGCTATGACTGTGTTCTGTCTTACAGAGGTATCCCATGCTGGAGCTCCTCAAGACCTGACATGGTTCGGCTGGGTCAAGTAGGCTAGAACAAGGCACAGGGGTCTCAAGGCGGTTGCGGGCTATAACACCCCAGATGCAGGAGGACAGAGACAGACCCAAACGAGAAGGAAAACGACAAGGTAGGGTAGGAACAGAAGACAAGAAAAAAAAGATTAGGAAAAGAAAATCCTTCAATAGGAAGTTTTAGGATCAGAAATAAGACACCAGAAGAGAATACATGTAAGATGTTGGGTTAAGAGGGTAAAAAAGAAAAGGGGGATTTTGCATTACCGTTCTCCTGGTTGCTGAACAGTCTACTTGCACTGGAAACACTCTTGCCAATGTCAGCGAGGGAGCGCAGGTTGGACTTCTTGGTCTGGTGGCGATGCTTTCGTAGCAGCGTGTACACGACCTTCTCCTTCTGGTCGGACTTCAGCTGACCGGTCTCAATCTGGCTGTCGATGATCATCTCTGTTAGAGGGATAGAACATCATGAGTCACCTTCAGCTGTTTTAAAATCTTCAACAGTGTGCTGGTACTCTGATAAACCTCACTCACCGACAATCTGCGGCAGCGTGGAGGCCTCCAGGTCCAGCATGATGGTGCCCTTCTCGATGCATGTTTTGAGCTCCATCAGGCTGTGTAGGGACAGCGTGGCCACATGAGGCTTACTCCACCGCTCACCACCCTTCTCCACCTTCTCCTCAAACTTGATCCATCTGTACAAGGGAGGACAAAAAGACACAAGTAGGGAGAGTGGTGAGATGTGTTTTCAGGACTGGGCTCGTACTGCTGTGTTTGACCTTGTCACATAACTCTGTGTTCCTGAAAAGGCAAGAGTGAGAGAGGAAGAAAACAATACACAAATATGTTCCTGAAAGTAAAAAGGTCACTGCACATTACAAATAAAGAGTGCGTAACAGTGGATTTATGGGCTACAAACAAAAAAAAGGAGACAAGAAAGGTTCTCTTTTCTTTACAAAACAACCCCATAGTGTTTTGATTTGGTCACAGTTCAAAAGGCCAAAATAGGTGATGCAGGACAGCTTAGAAATACAAAATAATGGCATTCTGGGATGGCGACAGTCTTCAACACACGGTTAAATGTGAGAAACGACACTTCTTTCCTACCATGGATGAGATTAGCCTCGAAGGTAGGGTTCAGGAGAAGAATGATTTGTAATAATGATGCCTCACAAGCCACCGCTACAAAAGAGCCATTCTCCTGAGGCCTGAGGATGGGGTTTCCTCTGGGGATAGAGTATCCCTTCTGGCTCAAATCCAAACTCCTGTGACCAGCCTTCTAACTAGGAAAGAAGCCTGGAGAAACTGTCGACCTCAAAGAGTTCATTTATCTTCTCCGTCTTGCAAGCCCTGCTTCCCCTTCCCCAAAATGTAGCATGACTGCGCCTTTGCCCTACTTTCTAGTTTATCTGCAGCACAACTGTCTATCTCTCAGACCCAGATTACTATTTTTAAGTACAATACTAAAACTATATCCTTTTGATTAAAACTTCCTCTATCACAATTGGTAAAACAAGAAGGCAAACATGTCACGTGGACCATGTAAAAGCCGCTGTGGACAATAAAATAGGGAACCATTAAACATTTGTATAAGCTTTTTTTCTCATATGCTCCAGAGCCAAGTGGAACATTGAGTCTTGTTGTAGCCATGTGGGTGTTTCTGCTTTTTTCCCCCGGTCTCACAGAGGCAGGTACTACCGATCTCAATCAGATAAGAGCAGAGTGGGAGTTCACTGGGGTTCAGCCTATTTCCCTACACACACAAAACACGATTATTCACAAGTGATTGTGTTCTGCTGACTGCGCCGGGATTGGGAAGCAGGACATTTTGGAGCACACTGCCTACGGCTTTTTATGTAAAAGGGTAGAATGGAGGGGGGGTGATAGATGCATGCCTGGCTTTAAAAGGACATTGGGCTCAGCAGCTCACCTGGCTGTTTCCTTCCACTCCATCTCCTGCCCGTCCACAGACAGGAGCTCGTCCAGCTCTGTGAAAAGCTGAGGAGGAGGGGGGCCATCGTCTTCCTCTCCCAGGATAAACCTGATCCTGTCAGCCGGAGAAACTGCAGAGAGAAAGAGGCATGTTAGGAATCATCAAAGCATCCAGCACAACTTCATCTGATGTCCAAGAAACCCTAACTTTGGAAAAAGATTTCAGCTCTCTAAATGTTACACTCAAGTTAAGGTTTAGTTACTGTACATAAGCATGGTTTAAAATAATTTTGATTTGTGATTGAGAATGTAGTATGTGGCTGTGCATGAATGAGCTAAGAAATAGGCCATGCTAAACACTTCCTGATTGCCTAGACAGTCTGGCTTTTTCCAGTGGAATTAAAATATCTTGGTTTTGTCGACTCTGCAGACTGAAAGTAAAATACACAGTACAATCTCATTATGCAATGAAACTAGAATACTTTGACAAAACGCCCTCGTGAGGAAAAACTTCCTTCAACTTCCTTCTGACAAAGGTGTGTCAAAATACATTTCAACACTGACTTAAGATTAATCCCTTCCAGTAAATTTTCTTACTCCCCTTCAGAAATGTCAGTTATGACCTCATGGATCACAGATAAAGCCTCAATGAAGCAACAAGTATGGTTAAAATGATTTATATTGTGTATATGCGGTTATCTATTTTAGGTAGAATGATTTAACACTTCTAGGAATGTTTCTTGACACACTAGTCAGGACTGAACAGGTGGATACCTCGACAACGTAACAGTGCCTGTAACCTTTTAATCCCAGCACAGCATCCAGGCTTAATTAAGGATGCTTGTTTTTAAAATAGTACAGGTAGAACTCTTCTAATGTAGCACGGAAACCTAGAAGGTCAGGACAGATGTACTGGACACACTGGAAACATTCCTTCTCTGTTTTGTATATCAGTATATTGTATCGACACAGACGTCACACACCAACGGCCCAAAACATACACACTTGAGATCTTTCAGTCGTCCAAATGGCCTTTATACCGTCTAGCCGAATGACTGGTAACGCAACACTTGGACACCACATGGTGTTCACAAAACCACTCACCTCTAAGTCTCACAACCGATGTTATCAATGAAAACCAGGCCTTTGTTGTGGTCACACACCTTTTAAGTGGACGGATCCACAGGGTTTGCCAGAGTCAACAGGATTATGGGGATTTAGATGGAGGGCAAAACAGCGGAAAATCCAACAAGTGGAGGGCTCTGTCTAGCATTGTGTGTGTGTTTTGGATTAGGGCTTTTGACATTTGGCACATGTCAGCCTGAACGCAAACATCAAACTCTCTCACACACACACACCCACCCACGCCTCATTATTTAACCTAAAAAACAGCAATAATTTAGTTTACATTTTTATTGTAGGGGGTTAAAAAAGTAGTTTACAGCACAACAGGAAAAAAAAATGTATCCCCACAGTGGCTGTAGCGCGTGCGTGCGTGCGTGCGTGCGTGCGTGCGTGCCTGTGTGCCTGTGTGTGTGTGTGTGTATTTAAAGAGGGCCACAGTTCAGTTTCAGTCCTGTCTTTGTTTAGTTTTGTTCCACATCTGAAGCCTTCTGATTCACAGTCTGATTCTTTGGATATACCATCAACATTGTTTGCATTTAAACTAATGTTGCAGTGTTTGAACCATACACATAAAAGAGTGGCCTTAAATTACCCTGTTGCATTTTAAAAAGGCTGAAAGCATTTCGAAAAGACCTTTAATGAAGAGACCGCTACTGACATTTATTTATGATTCAATATTAAGTGTTCACAGCTACGGTTCTGATTTTTTACGACCCTGTTTTTGATAACAGCTTCACAAGGGGTCAACTAAGCATTATCAAATACCTAATATAATTGCCCATTAGTCTCTCTGAGAGGGATTTGCAATATTGGAAAAGGCTGTAATTGGGCTCACAGAGTAAACAGATGGGGGCCAGACATCTAGACAGATTAATGTGAGCAAAACTCTTGTTATATCATGCGAGCTGGGGATGACTAAGCACAAAGGGGTTTATCACCTGGGCACGAGGCGTAACAGAGGAGGATTACAGTGTCAGAGGAGCGAGAGAGGATTACTCAGGTGCTCGTCTGCTGCGGCAGTCTGCGAGCCGCAGCTCAACGTGATGCCGGCAGGTTAGAGGAAGGTGTGAACGTGGGGGGGAAACACATCCAAGATAGAGGGACAATGTTCTTCTCGTATGATAAGTAACATGGGGATGCCTTAATGTTCTCCTCTTACTGATCTGCATCCAATTTGAGTAACAGATCAATAGGCAACTGAGGTCCTGAATACATGTTGAGGGAACAATCATATTGTATCTTGTAGAGGGAAAACAAGATTCAAAAAATAATGTATGCCTGTGTAATTAGAACAAATAAACATACGCAGATAGCAAAATTGACATCGGATTATCCTTGTTTTTTTTTAAAAAAGGGATTTGTAGGGGAGGGAAAGGGGCTTCCTTCACTTGTATCAACACTGTTGTTTTTTGTGTATGCATGTTTTTTAAGTGGAATTTATTTTATGACTGCAACATGTGTGAAAAGCCAAATCAGTAAAGTTAATCTTAATTTCGCAACATATGTAGCAGCTGCTGAATATAAAAAAAATGAAACTGTCAGATAGGGAAACATCAGTCATGACACGCCTGTTGCTTGATAATATATCCCAACCATGATCTGTAGCACACAGTGTAGTGTACAGTTTTATTTCCAAATCCAGTTAGAGGCATCCAGTTCTCTTTGAGGTCTGTTTCTTTGCAAATGTTATACTGCAGTCAACCAATAACACACACAAGCTTTCTTATTGTCCTGGTTTAACCGTAAAGATTTTTTAACATGCCTTAAAATTTGATGTTGCAGTTCTACCTGTTCACTTTTTAACGGGTTTGTTTAAAACTAGGCTACCACTTCAAACCTACACAGACTTCTCTTCTGTATTTTCCCAGAGCGAGTGCATGTCTGCACACGTTGCTAGAAAACTAAAGCTCCTTTATGGTGTCTTTGAATTCTTGTGTGATGCGTCTGCTATGATTGGATTAAACCACAATTTACTACACATTTGATTCAAGCCTTATCTTAAAACTGACTGTGACTGTCTATTTCAGATAGTAATTACCAGCTCGTGATATCTTATAATTTTAAATGCAGTTAACCTTTCAAAAGGATTCAGGTATGTTGTGCTGATATTATTGTCCACAGATGCCCCACACACGAGTTAAGAAGAAAATCCCTTCCTTTTCCCCATCTTCAGTTCATTTTGAGACCTTAATGGTTACCTCCACCACAGTAAAGCAGAGTGTAAACACGCTCCATAATGCCAGTTTCCAGGCTGTGCTATTAGAAGGTGAATTCCAAGGCTGGAATAATTGTATATCTTGCAAATAGCTTTAAACCTGATTGTAATGTTTGCTGCTCTTTGAATTCCCTATTGGGTTTGTGTGGTGGTACAGACTATACAGAGATTAAACAAAGACCTACATAATTATATGGCTCATTTACCAACAGTTGCTCTTGGTTTCCCACCTGTGTAACCACAAGGTTTTCAAAAACAAATTCTAATACATTCAGAAGATGTATGGCTTTGACACTGACCTATAAGACTCTTTCTGATTTACATCCTCCTGATCTTGAAAATGATCTTGGGATTATTGGTTTTACAATGCCCCTCCTTAAGCTTCTATATATGGAAAGACATCTGGTGTGTTTCCTTCAGCAGGAAGAAGACTCCAGAGACTTATGACTATTTTAATGTGTATTTTATGGACTAACATTCATTTAGTGCTATTGGCAGAACAGCACTAAAATACCATGGATATGCACTTTATTGGATTTATTTGGAACTATTAAAGGATTTCTGATTTTGAAAACCCGCTTCATCATCATGTTAATTGACAACTATCTGATCCATACTTGTTATTTCACTGCTCTTATAAGTACTGAAATTACATGAGGCCCATTATGTGTAGCATTATCCTCATATCACTTGTGAAAAATGATGCCGTTTTGGCTGCCTTTAACACCAACTCTTTCTTCCCATCTACCTTTTTTACATGTTCTGGGAATCCTTCCTCACAGATCCCACACAGTACAGTGTTAATCATCATGACAACAGATAATACCCCTGTTGTAGTTACTTCCCACACGTTAAGCCAATCCGGTATCATTTTCAGATTAGTATTCGGCATGTTCCCATTCCCTCGCTCCACTAATTCTGTTGAGTGCAGGTTTCTGTGTTGTGTTTTTTTTTTTGGGTGCTGCGACCCCACCCTGTGTCCTTAACTACAGAAACACTGTGTTTGACATTGTGTTTCCCAGAGGGCTGCTGGACCTCACCCAATGGGACTCAACCAATATCTAGAAAATTATACAACTGTTATTAATGTGGTGAATTTATACTCTGATCATTACCAGTGGACGATTGTAATAGAGTACATTTACTCAAGTACCATTTTCAGTTACTGGTACTTTCCTTGAGTATCTATGTTACTGTATTATTTTATTCTACTATATTTTAGAAGCCAATATTGTAATTGTACTCCTTTATATTTATACAGATAATTAGCTAAAACTAAATATAAACCACTACTAAATATTGGTTATAACATCCAGCTGCAGTATATAAAGTAACTACAATTAGCCCACCTTTACCAGCTGTGATGAACACATTAACGCATCAATAATCATAATGCAGTCATTTAATATATTATGGGCCATTTTCCATAACAAGGACTTCTACGTTTGCTACCTAAAGTATATTTTGATGCTTATACTTTTACTCAAGTAAGATTTTGTATGCAGGAAATGTACTTGTTACAGAGTATTTTTAAAATATGGTATCTGTACTTTAGTACTTCAGTAAAAGACCTGAATACTTTTTCCATCACTATCATTACTCACTGAGGGGTTTGAGGATGCTTGGAGGGGATTCGTCTGCGTTGTCCCCGTCCGACTTGGACCCCTCCGTGCCGTGCTCGGCCCGGTCCCGCCTCTCCTTGTGGCTGGACTTGCGTCTGTGGCGTCTCCTGCGGTGGTAGCTCTTGGGAACATGCACACCAATGTACACAGTGTGGTGACCTGTGCAGAACAACAGAGGAAACGCAGGTCAGATTACTCCCCCGGTTACAGGGAAATCACATTAATGGTGAATGCTGGCAATTTGTCTCGGCACTCGGATGCGGTGTGAAATGTTTGCTTATCACGAGGCTGCTTTGACGCAAACAGTTTTTTTAGCTTGCTGAGGTCAAAACGGTTCAGTTATAATGTTGGTCGGTTACTTATCAGTCAGTTAAACTGCAAAATCAAATAAATAACTACTTCCTACACAGCAGTACATACAGGAAATGGTAACTGAATGTCTCCAGGAAGTAATTAAAGAGACACAGAGAGAGAGAAAAAACTCAAACTGGATTTACTGACTGAGTTAGTGTTGAAGCAACCATGTATTTTTCCATTCAACCATGAATTCCATAAACATGCCTTTTTGGATTTGATGGTATCTTCCTCATCCAAAGTTGTCAGTTTTGCTTCCTTTTAGAAACCAAAGACCACTTTAGGCACACGCTAAACAACATGCACACCACATTCCCATGCAAGAGAAGCAAAAAGGATTTTGCAACAATTACTGCACACGCACAAACAGCTTGACATATTTCCAGAAGCTGTGACGTACGTCTCTTTATGTGCAAGTGTTGGTTTGTGAAATGTGAATGTAACTGCAAAGCCTATCAAGATAAATTATTTTGTGGCTTTAGCTGACAGCCAGAACTGGACAGGATTAGAGCACTTGAAGACACTTCTTCCTGTTCAGAAATGTCAAGATAAAGTGGATATTTCTTCATGTTGTATAACTTGTTGAATGCTGTGCTTGTACTAGAGAGGACACTATAGCTTCCACATGCACACTATGCTGTGAACAGTATGTGTGGAAAGACAAGGATAGGTTAATGCTTATGACATGTCTGTCAGCTGGACAATGTGCTGGAATTCATCACTGATCTTACCCTCCACTTCCTGTTCATCGCAGACATGTTTGACACAGGACGCTCCTCTGTCCAAGACTGCCTCGTCTTCAACTCTGCAAGGCAAAAGAGATCAAATATTCAATATGGATCACAACATAGTCGCTGGAACATACTTGAAGATTTACACGTTTTGTCCTCCACCATCACTGAGACAATAAAACAAACTCAAATTAAACAACCAAATATTTTAATACACATTAATCAAAAAAACATTAAGAAGCAACATTTTCAACCTTTAAGACAATGTGCTTTGCCCTGTTTTTATTCAAATCCATGTTGGGCCCAAAAATAAAAGTCCTATTCTGGTTATTCTGTAACAAAATAAACACTTACTCAGCTAGTTTCTGCTGCTGAATAAGCATACAGGCTATTCTATTGCTCTCTTTGTTAACTTGTAACTGTGCCACGACTTCCATAGCAACAGTAATTTTGTACATTTTAATTTAAAAAAAAGAAATATGATGAATAGGTGCTCAGATGTCAAGCTCTCACGTGTATTAGCATTTCTGATGCTATGCTTATCTCCCACAAATGTCAAGTTCCCATCCACCTACAATGCTTTGCACAACATTAATATATTTTATACAGCTTCTTCTCCTCTGTGAGTGAATGTAGAAAATGTAAAGTGAAAACCACTTTTCGCCCAGTAAGATCTGCAGAGTCATTATTGGACTTTAAGGTGAACAAACAATGTCTTATTTCAGAGACATCTTCTTGACCTTCAGTTTCCTTTGATCGGCAAATGTCAACATCCCTCAAAGCAGGAATGTGCCTCCTCCAGTCCAGCAAAGCGTGGACTAAATAAGTCAATAATGGAAAAACTGTAACTTTAAAATGGATACTTTGCTAAAAAGAAATTGCAAAATGGAAAGAATGCACCGTCTTCTTACTACAACGTGAAGGATGACGTTTCACTCATAGGAATAACTCTTGTCTTATTTATATTTAGGCATAATGTCAAGAAACAGAAAGTGTATAAGAGGATCCAATTATTAATGTTAAGCGTGTCAGTATCAAATAATGTATTAAACTGCAGTGGCTAATTTTTCCAACCGCTTTATGAGTTTTCTCCAACAACAAAAAATAAATATTTGATTTTAGATGCGCATCAAGAATGTCAATAAACACATGGACAGTTTCCACTGAAAAATCTTCGTCTGGGGATGACACAGTTCAAGAAATGAGGGGATGGGAGCAGTGTACATCAGCTGCTAAATAAACAAAGTCCGGAAGGATGCAACTTGTTCCTCCGATTGCGCTGCACGCCCATCTGAACCTCCCCTGTGGATATGCTATCAGGCCTTAAGAGAGAGGGAGAGAAGCAGAACGCTGATAGCTGACGTAATGTTGATCCTCCAGCTCTGAGATCAAACAAGTGTTAAGGAGGGGCCGGGCTCGCTGCCAACTTCACAAGCAATACCAATACAGTGATTAGACTCTGTACCCTGCTTTTGTGGTCCATTGTTGCTCACAAAAAGAAAAGAGGAGGCTGGTTCCCACACAGCAACCTGTGAACAACGCCAGCGCTATTGTTTAGCTACAGATTCTTTGAATGTTCTGTTCAACTTGTCCTCTCTCCTTTCCCCCCAGGACAGAGCGTACACAAAACACCACCAGCTTCAGGGATTTCGGTCAAATGTTTTTTTCTTTTGGGAAAAACTCATACTTTTCCATTTATCATTTAATGACCCTATTTGCAACTGAGAATGTGTAAGTGAACAGACATAGAAAGCAAATAGGTAGAGTTTTTCTATTTTTCTTGCAAATATTGCATATGGATCTTTACAGAAGCACATCTCCATCCTGTAGTGTTTACGTCTGCGACATGTACCATGCAGGTAGGTCATTTCACTGAAAACTATTGGTCTCACAGGAGAGCAAAGAGAGCTCAACTTGCAGGTTAACTATGGCCAGTCTGTGTCGCCACGTTAAATCGATCTACTCTAAAAGGCCTCAGACAGGGAGACCCTCATGTTGAGAAACATACCACAGGTGGTGCACAAATCAAAATAATAAGACCGGGATGTAAAGTGGGATGAAATGCAGAAGACAGAGGGAGCTGCAAGGTGAAAAAGCTTAAATCTACTCTACAGTGTTTAAGTCTAAACGACTTAATGTCAAAAATGTGAAAACCGGTCAAAAAAATAAAAGTCAAATGCATCTCTTGTAAATGTATATGAAGCACAAGACCGATAAGATCCTTGTTCTCCTTATACATATCAACACTGCTCAATCTTCTTTTTCATTTGTCTTCTTCTGCATGATTAATAAAAATAATCAAAGCTGGGTGAGGGTCAGAGCGATCAGATGCAGTCATCTCACAACCCCTCACTTCTGTGTCTTGACCTCATGAGGCTGGATAAAGCTGTCGGTGCGTGAGGAGCCGGGATCAGCTGCTGGGGATCAGGGATCATCTCCATCTCTTTACAGAGGGAGCAGCCAATCCCCCCCCCCCCCCAGCCAGTAGAAACTCAGTTATGATTTAGGAGCCTCAAAGTGATACTCCACATAAAAACTAGTGTCGAACCCCAAAACCTGAAGGCTTGAAAAGGTAGCTTTGAAAATGTTTTTCTCCCCTATGATAGAAAGTTGAGAAGCCTGATTTCAAATGAGTTTTGATGTTCTTAAAATGTCCAGAAACTTCTCCAAAACTCTTACTGTGTAATCCATGTTTGAGGAGGAACACACTTTTTTTGTAGCGAGTAGGTTAAGGTTACTAGGACTAGAACATGCTTTCATTATTTGACTAAATAAATGACTTGTGGGATTTAAAAAGGTTGCAGCGATAATGTCCGGCATGTGTTCTTGTGATATTATCCTGTTAAGTCCCACAGGCTTTTTTTTGTTTTCACGAAACTGTGTCTCAGGGCTTCTTAACCTTTAACAAACTATGAATGTGTCATACCCACCTAACGGGAAGAAACAATCTTTACCGAAACAAAACACAAGTCTCACAAGAAGCGTCTAAATGAGCCCTGAGTGAAAAAATGCTAACACACTTAGCACAGAACTATATAAATACTTTATTACTTATCGGATCTGCACAAAAAAGATATCAGCTATTCCACAGATTCTAGAAATATAAAGAATCAATCTTGATACAGGGTACTTATATGTTAAAGCTTTTAGTCTACTATCCCATCATTCAAGGGTGGTTTTCACTATCAGTCATGTTTTTTTTGGACAGACACTCTAATTTACATTTTTGTACCATGTTCAATCTGAATCTACTTTAAAATAAAAAAACATCTATATTGATTCTGACTTTTCTACATCCAACTCACAAGTTTATCATTACTTTGAGAAAAAAGATTATTAATGTAACCCTTTTAGAAGTGAAAATATAGTCATTTGTTCTGGGAATGTCATTTTCGAGCCTGAGACCTGGAAAACAGGCTTGGGGCTTAGGATATACATTTTGCGCAATCGTTTCATTTAAATGAACCACCCGCTCAACAGGTCTGCCTTCACTTTTGGAATTTCCTCGCATAGGTGAGGAAATGGATGGATATCAATCGTAGTGAGCATCACTCAGCATAGCACAAAGGAGCATTCACCATTCCCGACAGCACAGAGACACACAAGTCATTGCATGGAACAAAACTAAAAGGGAACGTTTCCTCATTGCAACACATTTCGAGAAATGACTCTAAAGAATGAGGAATACAAAAAGCTTGTGTTTTTGCAGTTTCTGCAGCCATTGTGATAGCAAAGGACAGCAACATTAGGTCACTACAGGTTGTTTACTCTTGGTTTCACCCCATGTTGCTTTAAGGGATTGTGCCACACCTACTAACAATTCAGTGGGGCTCACACTGATACTTTAAATCTTACGTACACTGGCTGCAGCTGATTTCGCAAACCAGCTGATGAATTCCAGGTGCATGTCAGAAAGGTTTCTCCACACTAACTAGTGCGTTTCCGTGTTTGGTAGTAACCCTCCAGTCTGATTTGTTGCGGCTGCTGCGTCATTGCGCAACGTATACACACACGCTGGCTCACAACCAGTGTGGATTTTTGGGGTGTCTGCTCAGCTCGGATACCGCCTGGTCTGAGGCATACACAGCTTTAATCATAAAGTTACACCAGGGACAACTCTCCAACGCTTGGCCTGCTTTCCCCGTGTCACTCTAACTCAGAATGACAGCCTGGAAAATAGATTAGCCTTTTACAGGACGTCCATAACCACAGCAGTAAGGCAACAGTGGCTGAGGCAGCCAAGGTGTAGCTGCTTTCAAACTGTTCTGAACATAAACAATAGTTTACTAAAGTTATGGGCACCAATGGCTCTCTCAACCCAGATGATGCACTGAATTTACGCACAGAAAATATCACGGAAAACACACTGAATATTCAGTTAAGTTGCTGAATGATATTCACCTGACGACTAATTTACACCTGGCAGGAAAGGGACCGCAAGTTACAAAGTAAAAGTTCACAAACATGGTTACTTGGACTGCTGAAAAGAGTACAAAAGGAAAATTATGAACTTACTTCTTTTCGGAAGTCATGGTGACAAAGTTCGCCTTTACAGATGATCAGTGTGGAGTTCAGTAGTCCTTTTGTAGTCGTTGTTTGAAAAACTCTAGCTGACGCTTTGTTTAAGTGGATAAAAGAAAGGAGTCGAGGAGCTATCTCTCTGGAAGGATTTCTGCGACTCTACAAATCAAATGTAACTTGTAACACACAATCTTCATATCGTGCTGGGCTGCTGCAGGTTTTCTCCAGGTGACATCTTGAGCTAAAGTCTCCTTTTGTGTCTCGCTGGAAGCGTGTGGAGAGCCTCTGAGACCGCAGCGTGTCTTTCTCCATATTTAAAGTGCCATCCCTCGTGACGCCACCGGGGGGTGGAGGTCACAAAGTTGCTCATGGGTGGCGCACCAAACACTTAAACTTTACAAAGGGCTTGTCTACTGTCCACATTGCATTTTAAAGGACATCCTATAATATCACCGGATATGTCAAAAATGAAAATAAATAAATATTAGACGCACCTTCTTTGTTTGGACGGAGAATTCCATCAGCGTGGGCCCTGTTTATTTGTAATGTACAGTTTCTATCGAGATTCAACCTATGATTAAATGCTGATGTGTATTCAGTTTGTATATCGGTCACATACTAACTAAACTAGTCATTATTGATTTTAAACACGTTTGTAATGGGTTAGGCGTTACACATTGCTGTGCATTGTGATATGTATATTAAATATATTGTGTGTGTATATATATATATATATATATACACACATACACACACACATACATACACACACACACACACACGGCGCCATAGGTGAAGGAAGGCATCTATTTCAGGTAGCTTTAATACAATTCCATTAAAGCTGCCAGGTAAAAGCAAGCTCAGCAGTCTGAAATAGCTGACAGCAGTGCATTATGGGGACTGGCGACATCTTCTGGAAGATGTGAGAAGATTCCACTCAGAGCCATAAAGGCCAGCTATTACAATCTTTTATTTTGAAATCAATAAACCCTGGGTGTGGATGTTTAAATAAACTAAAATGATTTTAATTTGAAAAAATACTTTCTTCTCATGACTTATTTCTACAGTATATATTAGACAAGGAAACACACACAATTAATAAAGTATTTCAAGTTTATTGTCATTTGTAAGGACCAACAGCCATGCATATGCACACAAACTATTTATAAATACACCAAAAATGTAAGAAAACAGTAATAAAAACGTTTTTTTAGAAAAACGCCACATGTCACATCATTAATGGGGATTGTAGGGGGTAGAAAATTAAGTTGTTGATACATTTCATCTTTATAAAAAACTCCATCCAGGTTCTCTTCTTTGAGTAAAAAATTAAATCTCTATCATCAGTTGAATTCTACAAAGTGCTCAAAAACTCCTTGACCTGAAAAATAAAAAAACAAGAGTCAGCATGAATGAGTTAACACATTAGTACCATCATTGCTGTTCTTTAGGGAAATTATTCCAAAATCACAATAAGTGAAAAACAAGTAGCTTTCGGAATTGGTGCAAAGGGTTATGGTGATAACTGGACACATTGTGAAATCTCTAAAAAGCGTCTGTGTTTACTATCAACATGAAACTGCTACATAAGCATCCCTGCAGGCCTCATTACCACAGGTGAAACCTGGATGTGTGGGTGTCAGTATCACAGCAAACACTCAGTACACATTACCTCCCCCAATACACATTGTACTGTCTATTTATACTTGATTTGGTTTCTAAATAGTGAACTAATGTTTTATTTTTAAGTGAAAATTGGGCGAACATATTTCTAATACAAATTAAGTGGTTTCAAATCTTTTAAACTAAAAGGTAATTTTCTTGATTAAAGTGAAGCATGATGCCTTATTCTATCTTCTCTCAAATGACACAAACATACACTTATTGAAACAACTTGATTTGCATTAGAAACATGCTTCACATTTGTTATCAGAAAACAAAAATGAAATGCTCAATATTATACCATGTAATGCTTTAATAGCTCGTTGATACTGCATCAGATAGGATTACTGTTAGATTGACATGAATGTACTCTTTTGATGTTGAGCTGGTGGAGGTGGAGCCCATTTGAACTACTTTCTGGTTAGGTAGTTACAGGTAACATACATTATATCTATGATGTCATCCTTTTTGTTTGCATATAAAAAAAGAAGTAATTAAAGTCACTAATGCAAACAATAAATGTGGAACTAAACTCGCTCTGAAAGTAAAAAATCATTACCAAAAAGGCGATACTCTGGTTAAATAACCCAGCTGTAGGGATAACAAAGTAAAAAGGCGTGTTTGGAGTATTTGGGTGGACACAAATCCCAAACCATTCTTTGTCCATTTCAAATCTTAAATTGGGCTGAACCGTCACTCACCTTCTCAATCATGTCAGCGCTCTTGCTGTTGTTTCCTTTAAAGTCTTCATTTATATCTATGGTCAGAACGGGCACATCATTGAGATACTCAAAATCCGTTCTGTGGGCCGGAGAGGACAGGGGACACTGTCAGTGATCATTAAGCAACATCAAAATGGATGCAGTATCCTGAATATGAATTAAGCTACTGAGGATGGCAAATCTTGGTTAGTAAATCGTGCACAGAGAATGGGACTAACCAACACATTTCCAGGTGATCACATGTATCAAAACAGTTTCACTGTATTAGTTGCAGGTTATTGCAATAATGGGGTATTTTCTTATGGCCAAGATCAGTAAGAACATCCTTTTTCTGTTAGAAAAAGACATCTGTTGTCCACACAGCAATGCAACGTTTGATGTGTGTATATGCACCTCATGGTCTTGTGCCGCAGCCAGCTCTCGTGCTTAAAGTGGAGTTTCTCCAGATACTCCAGAGGGATGTCTTGCTCTTCTTCTCTGCCTCTCAGATGCAACCGCTGCAAACATTTCTACACACAATAAAATAATATTATTGAAATCTGTAACCCTCAGGTTTCATAATGTAATAATAATATTTTCATTACATTTCATTATTTTCATAATGATATATGATTTTATTAGATGCAGTTCAGTTACCTGCGATTGATATGATCATATCACCTCTAAACAAAATGTGTAATCATTCTAAAATTGAGTCAGAATAAACAACTATAAGTTGAGCCAATATCATTAATGGGCAAGGGAAAGGTGATACACTAGGATGTGTAATAGTGACACAGACTTGCTTTGGGAATGACAAACTAAGGATGATGATACCCCTCCAAGACATAACACATAGTTCCCTCCCTTAGTATTTTCCTTAGCAAGGTCATTCTATTCCGGTGTAGTTTAATTGCAATGAGGCAGCAGAGTCCGCCAGCCTACCTCCGGGGCCGCTCTGAGGTAGATGATACCGTCCAGCTCGATGTGCTTTCCAAACTGGCTGTGCAGCCACCCGTGGCAGTCCTGATAGATGGACCACTCCGTCTCGTTCAGGCACTCGCTCTCATACAGGTTGGCTGCAAAGATGTACCTGGGACATTAAGGACAAGGACTTTCAGATTATTAAACATATAATAAAATAACCATAGTCAGTGTTTATTGCAAGCTGCATATTCACATTAATCCCATTATCCATCAAAACATATTTTTCAATAAAAAGATTGAATTTCTTTTTAAGCCATGACATCTTAAAATGAATACCAAAACACAAACTGTTCAGTTTTTGCCGAGAGTGATGGATAACCACCAGCATCTTTTTTTATATCTGCACCTATGTTTTTTATACTTGTTGAATGCATCCGTTTTTTCAGTGGTACCTGTCGCTGTAGATGGAGCGCTCGAAGAACTGCACAGGGTTCTCGGCTTCCCGCAGCTTCCCATTGGCCGACGTGATCTGAGCGCGCACTCTGCTGATGCAGGCGTAGCTCTGGAAGGTGTAGGCCCACCTCTCAGGTTTCTCATACATCATCTGCAACACATTCCCCCCACTCCTCTGAGAGGTGGTCAGCTCCTGAGACACAGGGACAAGGGGAATGTAATAGAGGTCCTAAGTGAGTGCATCCCAATTAGGGATCAATACGTCTGTTAAGGAATAGGTTAGTGTACAGTCCATGTGTTTGCACATTGATTGCATTCAGATTGCAATCTAAACCCAACATTCTGTTGTTTTCCTAGTATATGTTTAAGCTAGTGAAAATCATCACATTGAAATTGCAGGAACTGGATAATGTTTACAATGTTGCATTTTGGCAAAAGAAAAAAAATTGAAGAATCAATCATTAAAACACATATCTACTAAAAACTACTTGTAGCCTATTAAAAAAGGTGCCTGTATTATTTAATATTCTCTAGATGTAATCTTCCTACCAACTACACAATGTCTCCATAAATGCCGCAATTACATTTATTTAAGTTTTATCCAAAGCTTAAAATTAAAAATGACAACTCGCAGGATTGATGACTGAAGCAGAATTATTTAAAAACACTCATTCCATCATGCATGATTCTAATGAACTATTTAACATCATCCTGATCAGCAGAGGGCGCACAACCATCTATGTTTGTTCACAATATACTGAGAGTTGTGGCAGCAGATGAGTGTAGGAGGATTCCTAAACAGTTGTCCATACTGATAATATCCCTTTACTTTTACAGTGAACTAAGGGGACATTAATTCAGATGTATCAGAATCCTTCGTCATCAAGAGACAACTATACCATTCTACAATACAGTACATGTTATGATATGCCAAAAAACTAGTTCAAATCACCCTGAATATTGCTAAACCCACAGTATGAGTGATGTGTATATGCGGGTGTGTTAAACCACTAATATTGAGTGTGAGGGTGAGGCTAGCCCTGCGTCTGTGAAGGGGGGTCAGAGATGTTCGCCCCGGCCCTAGGAAGGCATGTTCATCTGTCCAGAGACGGACCATCTGTTGGGTGTGTGTTTGGTGATGACCTGTGCAGATATGTGGACAGATGGCAGCTGCACTCTAAATACAGATGAAGACTCTCCCTGTCATCTTCATGTGTGCAGATTATGTAGAATCACTGGTTGAGAGAGGACCGCAGCATGCTGGTGCACAATGAAATGTATCCCAGACTTAAAGAGGAAGCAAAAGTGCAGCGCTTGCAAACACAGCAGATGTGAAGAAAGCAGATGTGAAGATATTACACAACAGTGTGCTGCGTATTCACTGTATATGGGTGCCAACTGACTGATTTGGGACCATTACTTTAAAAAAAATGCAATGTGAATACCTCAAAGTCACTGCCTTTTGTTTGGACATTGCACCATCTGGCGATTGGCTCTGGTACCACCTCCCAGTCCCCGCTCTCCTGATCCAAAAGCCGCAGAAAGGTAGATTTGCCCGCCGCTGAACACAAAAGGATCCAGAAAATCAACATTGATCATAGTCAGTGACATGTAGCAACACATCATGCAGGTATGTTAGCTGTACAGACAGTACTGTTAGTATAGTTAAGTGGACGCATAAAATGCAGCCTTCAATTGGCGGTAAAACTGTAACGAAACAATAGTGGATCAATAAAGAGTTATCACTGTCTGGAACGCAACACCTGCCACCTAAACTAGCGAGCAGTTAAGGTTCTGAGCTAGATTTTAAAAATTATTTTCGCCATAAAGTGGTGCTTTACTCACCAATGTTTCCCTCAATTGATATCCGGCGTATCCTCTTCTCATGCCTCTTCTCCATGGAGTCGTCTATTGAGTCGGGAGACGGCCTCTTTGGAGTTAAAGACATTTTCTGCAGATTAATAAACCTGCTTGTTAATCAGAGCGGTGAGAGCTCCAGCTTGTTGTTTAAAGTTTGGCGGTAACCCTGTCAGGAAGTGGCGGTCTGGTGCGCGCTGTGTCCCCGCCCAGGAAGCAGCAGCTGCTCCCTCACGTGGCCCGGCTCCAGACTTTGTGTTGTTGTAATACCATCAAATTCAATACCATACTGCAAACATAATGAATTATTAAGAGAAACCCCTGGATTGAATTGTTACCAAAGCTGTATTGGCATTAGAAACAACATTTACTTATAGTATCAGAAGTAAAAGTACTAATTCTGCAGAATAGTCCATGCCAGTGTTGAAGCAGTTTTGTTCTTTAATCTAAATTAATGCATCTTTTGTATTACAATTCTTAATTTGAAAGGTAACTGGTATAGCTATTTAATAAATGTAGTAAAGTATAAAAACGAGCATTTCTCTTTGATATGTAGAAACAATACGTTTTTTTTTAAAGTATAAATTGTAATGTTATACTATAAAACCCGTCGTACTTTTTGAGGAAATGTATTATGTATTATTAAAATACTCATTACACAATCCCCACAAATCATAAAAACGTATAGTCGGACTCAAAGTAAAGCATTTGAAATGTTGCCCAAGTAAATTAATTGAAAACAACGTACTTTAATTATCAAAGTTAACATCAGCCAGAAAGCGTTCAGTCAGTTACATGATTGGAAAATCAACGATGAATTAAAATTCAAGCAGCACTTTATTTTGTAGTTGGTTAAAGAGAATTTTAACAATACTTAAGTGATATTTAATCTGAAACAACGCAATATATTTTATTAACTAAATGTGTTTTGTATGGTACATTTCCCTCTGAAATGTATTGGAACGCAGTGTAAAGTGGTATAGAAAGGAACAGTTTTAGTATAAGTACCTGGAATTTGCACTTGACATAAATAAACACACGCTTCATTCAAAGAGTCAAGACCACCTTTATTTTCCTTGTAAACAGCATAAATCAATTCAGTAGCATTGAAAACCCCTACCAAGCCAATATTTACAAACATCTCAAGAATTATTACAGTCAAGGAGGAAAAACCGTAGGCAATAGGCTATGTTACGAGCATTTCATAAGGATGAGATGCTTTCAGGATGACTGATTTTACATTACATTTTCGGATATCTGGTGAGCAGTAACATTCAGAATAGTAAGCTAAGGAAGTGGGAAAAGATACAATAAAACAAACAAGGTTTCAATATGGGGGAGGAAAGCAGCCTCAAAAAAGACATGATGGCAAAAGCTGCCACTCCATGCTCGCTGAAAAATGATCTTTAAGACAGGTCTAACCCTCAGTATTTACACGTGTGCATTGAAGTATTACACCTCTCTCACAAGTTATATATAACGATATATAAAGTGTTCATCTCCCTGCTTTTAAACCAAACCTGAAAGACCATTTCATCATAACCCAGAATTTAAGCACTATAAAGGAAATGAATGTTAGATAAAGTATGAATGAGCCACCCTTTTAGTGTAAATGATTGCATCGTCAACAACATTTGATATTGGGAAGGGTTCATGCATCTGCTGTTTGAAGCACAGCGACAAACAACACATACAAAAAGCATAATAAATCTCACTTGTGCCTCACAGCCAATTTCAGAGGAGGTTGAGCAATTCAACATTCATTTGGGGAAGTAAGAGGGGAGGAAATAAACTATGATCAGTCACATGATACAGCTTCTCACAAAGCACAGTCTATGCAGAATAAACATTCAGGCAAAAAGAGGTCAGGGAAATAGTTCAAAGTGCTTTATGGCGAGTGAGATAACAAGGGATGCAGCATAATCCAATTATTATTGAACACTTTAGGTCGTGAATTCAAACAGGTCTCTATTTCTATTTGAGGACGTTTATATACAATTTGAGATCCCTTGAAGACTTTTCCTAAGATTTGTTTCTACTTCAAGTTTTGAGGGGAAACAACTCGTACAGAGGAACATGTCACTAAAGGAAAAGCTACACAGTTTAATCAATTTAAGTCCATGCTACAACATGACAATATTCTAGCCTTATTTCTATTTCCTCACAACATTCATGTATCATAACCTGCACAGAACACTTGGTTAATAGACTTTCAAAGTAAGAATAACATTGGCGAGTGTGAAGAAAATGGGCGTAGATATAGAACCACAGAAACTCAGAAGGAGGTGGCATGGATCATTTCATGTTTTGTCTATTAAGTCAGTGGTTTATGGCATTTATCTTCTTACAGCTTTCTTTGTTGAAATAGGGCAAAAATGAGCCATGTGAGGCACTTAGGATTATTTTGTTTTGAAGGATGCAGGCTCTTACAGATGAGAAAAAAGCAGACCCCAGCCCAAATCCATCCATGTAGATAATTGAATAAAATAACTAGCTACTGCGGTGACGTTGGCTTAAACTCTAGCCGTTACACCCCCATAGCCTTCCTAATATGATTCAGTAACTTTGCTTACACACTTCTACCCTGCAAGTGAGTTAGAAATGGGAATCTAAGAGCATCGAAACGCCTCGTGTTGCCATCAATCCAAGTGAAACAAACATCTGTGCAGTATAATAAAAAACTAATGAGCATAAGTCTATATTATTCTAAATGTAAGCCATGACTGAATGCTGGGGCTCGTTCCATACCAATAAAAACATCTCCTCCTATATGTTAATCTGTGGCTTGTTCTAGTGTGTGATCCCTGATAGCGTTAGCCTTAACCCTATCAAGACCCTTCCTTCTTCCTGGCCTTATTAAAAACATTTCCCCAAATGGAAATATAGTATTTACTGCATACATACAGCCAGGGCGGGGCGGGGTGGGTATCTGTGCAAAAAACTAGAAGACCAATAAAATAAGGGTTACATTGTTATTTATCTATCCTTGGTTGTCAGTTTTTCAATCAGCTCCTGAAGTGGAACCAGCTCTTTCCTGTCGATGAGGTTGAACTCCTGGAAAAGAGACGGGGAAGGGAGCAAACACAAGTCAGATGATCCGCTATAAGCTAGATTTTAACGCTCATATACACTACATCATACATAAAAGTCCATACTTGTATGTCAGATATTCTTTACCTGAACAAAAAAGATGAAGTGTTTGAACGACGTGTTGAGGTGGGCCTCCTCCTGCAGCTGCATCACAGAGTCAAAGTGCTGGTGGTAGATGTGAGCGTAGACCCTGAACAGGCGCTTCAGGATGGTCTTCGCCACGGACATAAAGTTTCGCTTGAAGGGGACACCTGGGGGGGAAAAGGGCAAGAAAGACTTATGATGGAACCAAAGATATGGATAATACAGTCAGTGTGTAGGTAGAGAAAATGACTGGATGGAAACACTTTGTTGTTTTTAGAGTTTCAAAATGACCAAAAAAGATATGTATTTGACAAACTGTGCTTGATATAATAACAATACTGCACATAGAGTACAATGGCAATGCTGTAACAATACTGCATATGTTTTATTATTGTATATACTAGTATTTTGTTATAGTATACCGTACGTAGGTTTTTGGTATATCTATATTTCGTATTAATCATTTTCTATATCTTAATGATAATCAATTTTTTTTGGGTTGTTTTCATTACAATTGATCTTCTTTAATTGTGTTTGTGCATGCACCATACACACCCAGGCAGATTCCTTGTATGTGTAAACCTACTTGGCAATAAACCCGTTTCTAATTCGGATTTCTTCAGGCATAGCTTAAATACAAATAATACATTGGTAGGATCGCACCATCAAAACAACCACTCAACCTTTGAATGATGTATTTTTCCGAAACGAACTATTAGCTACGAAGAAAAATATAAAGCCCTGACAGCTCAGAGCAATGAACACCGATGCAGCTACAACATGTTCTCGATTGCACATTTCAGGCAGGCCACAGCAAGATGTAAGTGAAGTGCAAACAATCAAGAGAGCAATAAGGAACCACCTCATGGAAACAACCCGTTCATTTGTAGTCGGGACAGTCTGATGTGTTGATTCAGTCAAGAGATTGTGAGTAGAGAAGCCTGATGGACAGCTTCTTCCCACAGTGTACATAGAGATAACGTAGCAACAGAAAAACTACACATCTATTATTCAAAAGGCGCTGGTGACCGACAGGTAACCCACCTAGGGCTGAATGTGCACATGGTCCACTCTTTTGAATAATTCACTTGGACACGAACTAGACTAATTCAGGAATAGTAATAATTTAGAGGTTAAGGTGGGATAAAACCTGACCAGGTACAAAATATTAAAAAAGGTATCCTGTGGAGTTTTCTTAACTTGTGACCGTACTTGTTTTTAGGCTGGTGAAAGGCTTTGAGGGACTCCTGGTAAATAATGAATAG